AAAATATACTAAATTGAATTTCATCTGTGTGAAAACATAAGTTACAAATGAAGGCAAGAAAACACCAAGCAGACACCTACAGAAGACATAGATGAGCTTCTATATGAGATGAAATTTCTTGTGGTAAGATAGTGTAATTTTCCATTCTAGAACTAATTGGCAGCATTGGTGCCAATAATTTATTTTCTCTGACCTTAAGAATGACTATCTTGTTTTACCTGCTAAAGGATGTTTGATCTCCCATGACCTTTGCCTGTGACTGATTTTTGACAGAATGGGACACTTGTGTGGTGTCTCTTTCAACAATAGCCTCTGGGTAGCACAAGGAAAGCAAATATATTAGCGTATCATAGTAATTTATTGCCAGTTTTGTGTGATGGCATATTTACTGAAATAAAGCTGCTCAAGAAATCAGAGTACAGAAGTAATACATGATTTTAGATCAGATAAAATATATAAATCAAATGCATTTCCAGTCCACCGTCACCCACCTCCACCTCCACTTTGTCCTCAATCCTCAGACAAATTGAAGCGCATGCCACAAATTGCAGAGGGAAAATCAAACTCAATTTCACAGTACAATGAAGTGAGTTTTGGTCTTGTCATGTCCACTGACATATTGATCCCTCAACGACTGAAAAGATCAGAATTCTCTGGGCTTTTGCTTTTATAAATACATACATGTAGAAATGCGATGTTTGAATGGAGGACAATATAACAGTTATTCAGTTTTACAAAGATGTGAGACTCCAGGATGCCAATGCTATAAAACGGTGTTATGAATAAAAGTCACGATTAGAAGGTTACATTTCTTTTCTTTTAGAAGTACAACTCCAGAAGATAAGTGGCTATATAATCCAAGTTCATTTAAAGTACAGCTGATCACTCCACAGCTAAAAGGAATTTGCACTCGTGAAGAAACACACACACAACCATACTCTGCCTTGCCTTGGCCTTTTCTATGATTTATGTCAGTTCTATAATGCAATAAGCTCAATGCTCCATCAAACATTTCCTATTTAACCTGAAAGGGGACTAAGCCATATCACTTGTGTATCTACTTCTGTTATTTGCAAAATGCAGGGACTGCTCCATGAAATGTATAAAGACCATTCAATTATTCAGATCTGTAGATGAAACATTAAGAAATAGAACCTCTTTATTGCAAGATGATGATGAAACTATAGGTAACACATAAGCACCTTAGGGTCTTGTAAGCTAAATTTCCTTCTCAGCAGGTAGAAAAGAAATGAAATCAAGGAATGAATCTATGTTTGCAGGTAGGCAGAATTTCAGTCGTTATGACAACAGGATGACTTTCTAATTACCACCTACCATAGCAATACTGCAAAATGCTCTGCAGTCCCATGGAGATTGTTACCGCGTAGTGTATGTGTCCTCTACCTCGTATAAAGTTGCTGCAAACATCCCTGTGTGTGCCTTGGTGGGAGGCAAACAGAGGAATAGAGCCTTCTATACTGCCTATAACAAAGCGGGAAGGGCAATGTGAATGATGAAAGGATTTCTTCATTGATTCTGATCTAAAAGCTTTCAAATTAGAAGGAGTTTCTCATTTAGCATGATCTTTAAAAATTAGAATGCCTCACATTACCATATTCTAAAGTAATTACTTGCAGTAAGTAAAGATAGACTCATTGCTAGTTATGCAGTCCCTTATTGTGAAATCCAGAGTAAAATTATTTGAGGTATTTTCTTTTTTTAAGCTGACAAAGAGAATGACTTTACTTCATCAATCAGTTTGACTAAAGTAATGATTTTCTTAGAATTAAAATTTGTTGAAAGCTCTAAGTATTTCATCTTTTAGGTTAAGAAGCATGTAGTTAATGTCACCACTAATACATTTGTCAGTCTGCTAATTTTCTTTTTCTATTAGAATAAGTAAACATCAGCCCTTTTAAAAAGCATACTATTTATGGTGTGTCAGGAGCAATGTAGGGAGACTTATTTGAAAATCATGAGGTAAGGCATTATGAAATGAACAGGAATCACAGGCAGACAATGAACTAGAAAAATAAAAGAAAGGCGCACTTAATAATTCCACAGTGACGGTGGGGTACGTCTCATGTGGAGTGGGGGAGGGTGGCATTTAAAGGGGAACTGTGGGAAACAAAGAAATCAAATGCAGAACTCAAGCCAAAGATACTAGAAATATGAAGAGAAGCTTGTGAGAAATAGTTCAAATAAGAACAATAGTTACAAAAAATGAAAAGCTCATATAGGTACAATGGAAATAAAAGAAAATGAGATTTTTGCTTGGATGACATTAGATCAAAGAATAGTTTTTCAGATGTACTTAGTGTTTGATGAAACAGGTGCAGTGACAACACAGCTGACTTCGCTTCCCTTCTATTAGGGATGTAACCCACATATTTATGCTACATTTTGTTAAGCTTTTGTTTAAGGCATCTTTGGAATTGTCACAAGGAGAAAATAACAGCTAGAATATATGTCAGCACTCTGTTCCATTGATCACTGATGTTTTTTCTAAAATTAAAAATTTTTTTATGGTTTTGCTGTACAGCTTCGCTGTATAGGCTGATTTTCAAACCTCGTGTTCCCAACTACATCACAGTTCTAGTAAAATTTTTAAGGTAAGATGGCACTCCTAATATCATCTCCAGCTGTTCCCATCTCTAAATAACATAGTAATCTGCTATCGTGTGGTATTTTGAATATCCACCGAAGTCCCACATGAGGGTTGATACTATCGGGAGGTAGTGGTACCTAGTGGGTCACTAAATTGTCCCTTAAGGGGGAGTTTGAGCCCAGGTCTTGTCTTCTGTCTTTTTGCCTTCCTGATGAAGAGGAGAGCAGTTTGCTCTTCTGTACATTCCCTCCATGAAGTGTTGCCTTCTTACAGGCCTGAAGCAACAGAGCCAACAATCATGTATTGGAGCCTTCAAAATCTGTGAGCAAAATCAGTCTTTTCTTTTTATAAATTGATTGTCTCAGGTACATGGTATAGTAATGGAAAGCCGAGGAACACATTTTCCAAGTCAAAACAATAGCACAAAGTGCAATTAGCACTTTAGGGTTTTTTTTTTTTTTTTTTTTTTTTTTTTTTTTTTTGTGTGTGTGTGTGTTTTAAAATTGGTTGTCTTTAGTATAGAAGAATAATGCCTTTTAGCTTTTCTTTGTAAAATGTGAGTGAAGACAGCTTGTGAAGACAGTATTTTAGATGCTTCTCATTTTGGAATGATTTAATTTTTAAAATTTTGCTTTTATCCTTAATTTAGTGGAACAAAGGCATTCATAATACTTGAGAACCCATATTTTCTGAGGACAAAGAGAACGGGAAAAGATGCACTGCTTACCATATTTGTAGAATAAGTAAGGTACTTTAATTCTCAGTGCCTGTTTCCTTACGCATAAAATGAGGTTAAGATTAGCAGCTACATCACAAGTATTACAAGGATCAAATGAGATATTATAAGACTTCAGATGCGAACCTATCAGGTGAACATGTTCATTCAAGGTTCACTAAAGATTAGTTATTGATAAAAGTTGTAATCAACCTATTGTGTACCCTACATTAGCATCCAGTCTCTTTCAGCTTCTTCTAAACTGGTTGGCATTGCAGTGAGGAACAAGTGCGGCCAGAAATCACCGGACAGCATACTCCTGGTATACAAATTCATTAAGCGAATCATTCTGCTTTAAATTGTCTGCATTATCTAATACCTCATTGTTTTGGGGGCAATGTAATTTTTTCCCATATGTGTAATAGGAGTGCCTGGGTAACAATGGGGAAGGGCTTGAGTTGTTGTACACAGGTGTGTGGCTTACAAGTGTTGGAAGGGCTATCTTTGGTGGAATGAAGTCCTGACTTTTGCTGAGCCTGTATTTTCGGAAAGACAGTCATGCAGGGGAATCCTACTCACCTTCGGTACACGTTTCCTCCCATAGACTGGTAGCTGAGGACCCATTCAATACACTATGTAAATATTGAGAACATTAGGGGCAGTGTATCCAAATCAATTAATGCGATGCCAGGACAAGATATGCTTTTAATATTAATATAGTTTGCATTCATAGTTCATAGGCAATCTTATTTTTCTAATTTTTGAGGTCACCATGATACTGGTGTACTAATAATGTAAAGGCAGCATTCCTATAGACATGAACCTGAATAGCAGAAAATTGCTCAAACATATTTGTTAATGTAGATGAGCCCAGTCCAGATTCCTGCTTACTTAGAATCACTGCACTTTATGTTCCTACGTTAGATATACTGGAGTTGTTTAGAGTTAATGTTCCATATAATTTAAAGCACTACATATTTATCTGTATGTATCTACTTATCAATTGACCTATCATTCATTCTACCCAGGCAGTATTTTCTTGCTTTTTTTTTTTTTTTTTTTTTTTTTTTTTTTTTTTTTTTGGCTCTGTGCTTGTCTCTGTCTCTGACTCTGTCTCTCTCCCCCACCTTATATTTTCAGTTCCTAAAAAATAAATAAATTGAGCTCCAGTTCATTTCTGTTGGATACACACTGAGGTAATATAAATAACACTCATCTAGTCCTAATATTTTGAGTTAAGAACAAGGTGACTAGAAGCTCCTGGGAACTGACAAATGATGTGATTTAGAAGATTCAGAAGAAATTTTGTAGAGTTTTGTATGTTTACATCTAGACTTCAAGTTTGGTTTTAGATCTTAGAATGTGTGCAGCAGAATGAAGAGTCAAGGAATCAGGAATGCTTCCAGTATCCTACAGCACACATTAAAAGTGATAGATGGGCATCTAGGATTCACGAACAACTTTCCAAATGCAAGGAAAGCACCTGCCACTAGCCAGGTTTGTAGAAGGATAGTCCAGAACTGTACTACAAACAACAGTAAAACATGGGCACAGTGAATATGCAATTAAAGTAAAAAATACACATTACCTCCAAGTCTTCTCAGGCACCCCAACATACCTATATCCAAGTGCCAATAATAACAAGGATTTAAGGTAAGCAAACATGGTGCCCCTTACCTGGCTGAGACAAAAGTGGTGTGTAAGGGACTTTCGGTTCTATTGCACTCATTGGTGGAGGTAGCAAAGGGTTAGCAAAGCTGCGGAGTGGATGAGTTGGTCGAACACATGCCGTGGGGATGGTTCTGCTTGGTGCCTCCTCACTGCTGGGATGCTCGGGCTGGGATGGGGGCAGCAGGGGTGCTTGTTGAGTAGTTGGTCCTTCACTCACTGCTGTGATGCAGACAAAAAATCCAGTCAGCATTCCAGACAAACCTTGTTGTCTCTACATCTCTTCAACCAGTTCACAGAGAAAAGAGGGGATCTGGTCAGTCTCTTCTCTGAGCTATGAACATTTTTATGCCTTTACCTTCAGGAGTTTATGCATTATGATTAACATTTCCCCTTTAAACAACAGAAATAGGTCTAGCAAGACAGGGATCTATCTTTCAGGGAGAGTAGTAAAATACATTCAGCACTGACTATATTGCTTGAACTGTCTGGGCTCTGTAATCATAAGTGATGAGGCGAGAAAAAAAGAGTTATTTCTCCTTTCATAAGTAGCAATGTCAGTGAAATTCAATGTACCAAACCCAGTTACAGCTGCACTATTATCTACCAGCCAATATGCCAATTTTTCTGTGATTTAAACATGCCGTGTCAACTGTCAAACAAATCAGAGTTACAGGGTGCTCAGAGTACTGCTAATAAAATGATACAAATAATAACCACTATCATTATCTCCCATAACAAAATAGAGGCACATCTAGCTAAAAGTTATATGCGAGAAGACTTCACTGGAACAAGTTGGCCTGGATACAAAATTATGATCTTTCCCCCTGGTAGCAAACCTTGTAATTTTCAGGCAGATTGCTATAGTTGAAGAGACTTCACATAGTCATTTCTGACAGCCTGTGGGCATTTGGACAGCTTTGTATATGGAAATGCACAATTTTTTTCAGAGAATATAGTTGAGTAAGACCAAAATATGTTCAAGGCAATTTTTCTTGCTGAGGGTGATCTGAATAAGCTTAAGTATTCATCCATATTCAAAGTCAACAGGTCCAGGTTAAATTACAAATGAGAGGAGATGCCTACTGGGTAAAAGTGTTAACTAAATATGAGTATTTCTGACGATTTATTTAAGAAAGTTTGTTGGATAAATTGAAAAAAGGCAGTATCTCACTTTCAAAAGAGTTTTTAACCAGCAAGTATTTCCAGATAATAAATGTGGGAGTTAATTTTGGGACCTCTCTCTGGGAGGCGCAATACAAAGGGCAGAGGAGAGAGAAAACCTGACAGTGCAGAAGGGAGTAGGGATGAAGATACAAAAGATCAAAACATTGTATAAAGGTATGCACACGTGAAATGTGTGTCTCAGGGTATTTTTACACGTTCATCTATATTTAGAGGAGGTCAGCAGGCTTTTTGGTCACTGAAGTATCTTGGGGTTTGCCTCTTTCAGAAATGAAAGTGGAAAGGTATAGCACTGGCTGAGGACAAGAAGCAGCTGTACAGTAATCACAGCCAAAAAATTGGAAGAGACTTCATAAAACATTTTTTAAAACAGGGTAAGGAAATGTAATAAAGACAACAAACTGGCTAGGATCCTATGACTGGAGAGGAGGGAGGAACACTATTGTGTTTTCATTTAACCAGATCTTTCCAATAAAATAGGAAAAATCTAGTTTTAGAGACTAGGAAAATTGTACAGGTTTTCTCTGGGCTAATAATATTTAATCTAAAGGATGAAATGACTTGTAGCTAGCTTTCCAAAACAGGAGTTGATCATTTATTTAAATCCCAATATGACAATTTTGTACCACTGGTCCAAGAATGATATGTGTTCTATTTTTATTCTTTGTCTCTGTAAGAAGGTCCACTTTATTGTGGGTGTTTTTGTTGGTATCTCTTTCAGATCTCAGGCACTAAAGGATATTATGAAGTATTAAGGGTGCAGAAGGGGAAAAACAGTCTTCTAGAAGATGTTGTGAAAATAATCCTAAGGAAGAAGAAAATTATTCTTCAAAAGGGATTTATAAAATGGGCCATGGTAATGTACTTTTGAAATCCCAGCATTCTGAAGCCGGAGGATTGCACATTTGAGCTCAGTCGAGGTAATTTAGTGATAGCCTGTGTCAAAAAAAAAAAAAAAAAAAAAAAAATCCAAGACTGTGGCTCAGTGGGAGGCCTAGGTTCAATCCCTGTGCCACAAAAAGGGGAGATGGTTATAATCATACAAGGGAAATTCTGAGGAAACTTAAAATGCTTTGATTTCCACTTGAGGGAAGATCTCTTTATTCCTGAGGCAGCTTCTCTCTGATCCTTTTATTTTTAATCTCCAATGGGCTGATTCTTATTAAAGGATTCATATCATCATATTAAAAATATCTGTCAGGGGTAAGAAATTTCACAAATTTTTGGCAATATAGGCCTCTGGTGGTTGTATTAAAAATTGGCCGCAATTAATCTATATTATGTTTTAGAAACTTTCAGCATTGAAAGAATATTTTAATTTTATATTTCCTTTGCATTTTGAAGTGAAATATATGTTATATTATGGTGATCCCTTTAATGAAATTTACATGCATTTAAAAAATCCTTTTAAATCCAGCTTCTTATTTTGACAAAAACTCATAAATCGTATAAATATATGATGTCTTTGAAATTATTTTGGCCACTCCCAAGCCTGCTCTTTTTCTCAGCATTTATCTTCATCATCTCTAAAAACAAAAATCCTCTGCATGTTCAGTCCAGCATCCCCAAGCTTCCATCCGGCCACTGTGATTTCCAGGGGCATCATCAAGATAGAGGCTCAATGCAAAAGGACTAGCTTCATGGTGAAATCCATTCTTCATGTCATTCCCAGACGGAAAGAAATTATCTAAAGCCCTGGGTGCATTGAAGGCCCATACCGGGGCTGAATGGATTACCAATCCAAAAGGTATTGGTTTTATTTTATTCAAAATGGTCACAATGAAAATGGGTTTCCATAGATAATTTATAATTCTTATATTTTTGTTGGCACAAAATAAATACTTTTCAGAACTGGCTGGCATTTAAGGCAGTGAAAACCTTTAAACAAACATAATTGCAATTTCTTCACCAGAGAAATACTCTCATTTCAGATGAATCTGTTTGGCCAGTTCAGGTGCCAGCTCCAGAATACCTATGTGAAACAAATTGGCTCAGTGTCATGACATTTAGCTGAGCTAAGAGCTCTGAAAGCAAAGAAAAGCTTTGCCTTTCACGAAGTACAATTCAGAATACAGAGTGGGAATCAAATAGGTGCTGGCAAGGCTCTCATTCAAATGATGAAATAGTCTGAATTCATTGTACAAATAGCATGCAATTACACCGCAGAGTCAAATCTTAAGGCACTTTATAATAATTAATGTCAACACATATAAATAATTGCTACAGAATAGCTGGTAAAAATATTGCAAAAATGGAAATGAGAATTTTTTCTTTTATCTAAAAATTGGAATATTTGATAGAAATACAGCATCTCAAAGACTCTAAGTGAAGGCTCTGAGACATACACAACTCTAGGTTCTCAATTTACCTATTAATCTCAGAAGTACAGTATCATGCAATATTTTTAAATAACCCAGTTCTTCATTGCCTGGATTTTTGAAAATTCACTAAGGAATAATCCATGGATGACACTGCATTCCTGATTAATCTATGTCAACTTCATTTGGTATGTGACTTATAATTTATGGGAGAACAAGGTCAGAAATACAGCATGGATCATACTGAATGAATTTCTCATCAATTAAGAAAATATCAGAATTGAAAACGATGGTGGAAATTTCAAACATTTCTCCAATACCTACTTATTTCAAAGAGGAGGGAATGTGGGCACCAATTAAAATGATATGTGAACCCCAAACTACCTATTTTAGGAGTTTCAAACTAGAGTGCTGTTCACTGTTCCCCACTTGCCTGCAAAGACTAAGAAAGGAACTATGGTTACTTAGCAGGAAGAGTAATTTTTATGTATCATAATTGTATAAATCTCTATTGATATGCTAGCAAATACAGAAATGTAAATATATACAGCATAGCCTCCCTTTTCTGACAGTTGGGGAAAAAATCTGGCATTGTGACTCTGGACAGCAGTAAGTCTCTGGGGCAGGGCTTTAGTTGTTCTACAAAACACTCAGAATTCTTTCAGATAACTTTAGAGAAAGGGTCTCCACACTTGGAAAAGCCAACTTTTCCTATGTCTGCTTTTCTCTGTTTCTCAAGGTGACTCATAAGACATTTCCACTCAGAGTCACGAAATGTTTTCTGCCAGACAGAGAACAGGCATGTTTACTGTTCTCCAAAGCATGTAGAAAGCAATACTGAATGGCTGAAAAGTAACTGTTACTAACTGTGGGTTAGAGAATACTTTGCTTCCTAGAAAAGAAGGTGCGAATTTTATTGTTTTTTTCTCTTTTCTAAACAATCATTTGAAACATATATTAGATTTTTTTCTTTTGCATCCTTTAGTACACAAAATATGATGAATAATTGAATATACACATATTTTAAAAATCTATAAACTCTTGGCCAGGAGGAAAATATCCATTACCTTGTGAATTAGAGAAGTTCAAAAATTGGTAAGCACTCTGTTAGTAATTTTTTACATATACATAGCTTTTATATGAGGTTACATATTCATTGCATATTTTACCTTTGCTTCTAAACAATTAATGAAGATGAAAAATCCACTGAAGATTAAATACTGCCTCAAAACTTCAGTTTTTGGAGGTTTTCAAGTTCACAAAAATTTACATGGTATTTGGATGCTTCTACACCTCCTGTACAGATTCTCCACTATCAAAATCATTCACCAAAATAGTATGTGAAAGTTCATCTTTTTTTTGACCACAGGAAACACATTTTACATCTGCCTACTGCACTGAACTTTAACTTTTGGAATCATTTTTCTCTGTAATTCAATAGGATACAATACTTTATGCTGCACCAAATCAAGAAAATGAAGATGCAGATGTAATCTTGGACCTCAAAGAACAAATTTTCAGAAGAGGTCTATAACTTTTTTTTTTAAAAGAAAAGAAATGGGGAATATTACAAGAAAAATTACAATAAATAATTGCTGATTAAAAATAACAAACTTTTCTTGAGTCAGTTATGCCAGACAGACCAGAAAACACAATGCTATACATTCTTTTTAAAGTTATAGAATATAGGTGATCAAGTAAAAATAACTTTCTTTTTGAGACAAGATCTCATTTGCCCAGGCTGATTTTTAGATTGCAATTCCCCTGCTGCAGCCTCCAGAATAACTAGAATTACAGGTGCGTGCCATTTAACATACACTTCTCTTCTAAAAAAGTGAAAGGGGCCGGTGAGCCATTAATTTTTTTAACTAGAATCACATGTCCAGTTGTTTTTGGGAGTTGAAAATTTGTGTTAAGCTTTCCACATATTTCTCATCTATTCCCTTGTACATAGTTTAGGGGGCAATTTTTCCTTGAGTTTTTGCACACAACTTTATTCTGTGGATATGATGTACAGTGAGAAAAGGGAAAATGAATCTAATTCTCTCTTGGCAGATTTTTGATGCCTTTTAATTCTAACCTTGCTACAACTAGAGGATTTATGTTTTCTTAGAGATGCTGCTGTTGAGTTGGAAAAAATATAGCTTACTCACAAATATATTTTATTGCTGCTACCATCATATCTATTACAAAACATCCTTTCTCACATGAGCTGCTGAGTCACCTGTTCTTAACTAAGAGATGAAAGCCATAAAATCGATTTAAAAATGCTGTGCTCTAAGGAAAAAAAATGTCAAATGGTGCAGGAGAAATCACTAGGGTGTACATAATAACTTCAGAGTCTCCCCACTCCCCTCTTGCCTGCCTTCAGATAAATGAATCACTCCTTTGGAAATCTTTTTTTTCCTTCAATAATTAAAGGCTACAAAGGTATTGCTTAAGTGATCAAAGAAAACCAAAGTGTTCATCAAGTATTGGTTCACTGGGAACCGATGAGAAATATCTCTGTGTAATTAACAGATACTAAACAAAAAAACAGTGGATGCTATCCCTTGATTAACTTTGAAATTAATGGGCTATATTAATTTAAAAATATTTACTGTATCAATGTTTTGTAGAACCACTTGCCCATTTTTACCAATTTACCTTGTGATGTCAAGGAATTGTTCTTTGGAAAGACTCCTAGGGTATCAATTTAACGGCATGTAGCTAGGATCCAGAGACAATTACATTGGAAAAGAAAATTCTCATACTGAAGTCACAAGTAAATCAGTCTCGGCAAATTTCAAGAACAAAGGCCACATATTTGACAAGACATTTTGTTATTCAATTTTTTCTTAATAAAAATAATGGAACATGCATTACACTGACTTCTTCCTGATGCGAAACCTCGATCCACTGACAACGTTGGGAATGGTACAGGCCGGAGAGTGAACTGTGGGTGGGGGTATCCACAAGTGGGAGATGGGAGGATTCCTGGGTACTGAGCACTTTCTAGGGTTGGCACTGGTATGGCACTCACAACAGCTGCAAAACAAAGATGTTAGTAGGTTATTTTTAAGAAATTCTATATATCTGCCTAACAAGCATAAATGGCAAACTTTTTAGATTCTCAAGTCCATGTACACCCCTCATAGCATCAATTAGCTTTATTCTTGCAGTCTTACCTTGCTCCAGAAACCTATTTTCATTTTAGAAAAGACAGCTCATTCATCAAGCATGCTAAGGTATCTTATTTGGCAGTTTACAAGGTCCTATAGTTCTAAAGAAATGAGTATTCAAATCACCAAGAGTCACCCTAATGTTTTTCTTGTTTCTTTTCTTTCCCTTAAATTTAGTCTTATGCTTTCTTCTTAGGATAAGACATGAAATTGCAATTGTTAGCTTGTTCACATGTCTAATATTTTGATAGTTTTTAAAATAATTCAGTAAGTGAATATACACTTACTGAGAATATACTCAGTACTGAATATACTCAATTGAATATAGTCACTGAGAAACAATCTAGAATGACAAAAGAAAGGTATATTTTCAATATTCATGCCTTGCATTTATATTTAAATAGAAAATCCTTCAAATAGCTGAAGTAGTTTAGGTAGTGATACAATATTTTAAATTTAACTGAAGTTTTAAGGTAGTGACACAATATTTTAAATTTAACTGAAATTTATTTTTTTTCCTTTGAAGAACACCAATATATTTTAGTTACACTGGCTGAAATCCACAAGTAAAATCTTGTACAGCACTGTGTCTTATAGGGTTTAGTCAGTGTCGTTCTGTTATTCAACAGCTATTCCATAACAGCATACTTTGAAATATTTATTTGAATTACTGTCAATGTCTATTTTACATCATCTTATAAAATTTTTAGTAGTCCCTAACACTTAGTACTAAAATAAAATAAATTTAACCCAGCTACAGTAATGATCAGTTTTGGTAGTCTGATTCAGACTATGAAGTAGTTATTTTCTTTATATGAGAAATTTTTATGTATTATATCAACACAAATCACTGGAATTCAGCATATACTGCATACATATGCATATTTGCAAAAGGAAAAAATTAAAAATCATATTCATTTTATAAATAATCATCCTTTTAGACACAAATCGCATTGACTACTATACTTCTAAGTATAAAAATTTGCAGGTATGTATTATGTTACCTGCTAAATCTTGGTATGGCTTTATCTAGATTGTTACAACATCCAAAAAATACAAAACTAAAAGACTTAAATGAATAATAAATCTTTTGCAAACCAGGAGATTTCTAAAACTTTTACCTACAGCATAATTAGAGAAAGACTTTACCTGGTTGTAAGTGACAAATTTATTAAAAATGACTTTGGGTAAAAGTTTATAGTAGGAGCCTTAGCTCAGGGTAAGGTGGTGGATTAGATCCTTGGTACCAAAACAAAACATAACAAAAGGAGTTCACAATAAGCTGTGAGAAGTACTAATCACTGAGTGATTGCTATAAAAATATTCATTGTTAAAATACCCATGCATATGCAAACAAGACGTAGCAAAAGAACAAGCAGACATTGGAATGGAGTGCATATGGTAGCAGTTACACATGGATATGTAAATTTAAAGCACAAAAAGCCACATTGATGTCATGAGGTGATAAAATTCCAATAAAACTTTATAAGTAGCTATGCATAAACACTAACTGTCATGTTAATCAAGAAAAGGAAGGAAACAGACTCACAGTCATGGGTAACAATATAAAGAGACTGCATCATAAACACAGATAATGTTGTGTATTATTCAGGAGGGAAAGTGAACAGTAGACACTAGTTTAAGGAGAAAATTGAGTGATGCCAAATTCTTTCTTGGAGAGAAGCTTGCCCGTGTGGTTTTAAAAGGAATGACAGTAAATATCAAAACTACTGTTTTATCCTTTGAATTTACTTAAAGGAGTGATGAACCAGAAAAATTACAACATTCATAGATATACATTTATAACAAAATACTATAAATGTTAAATTTAAAATGTTGGAAGGGATATATAATTTTTCTAAATTATTTTAGAAAATACAAAGGAAAATGAACTATAAAGAATAAAATACGGATATATGGAAACATGAACAGTTACCAAAAAAATTAAAGAGAAAAAGGACATTTTAAAAAGAATCAGATAGAAGCCAGAGAGCAGCCAAGGTAAAGTTATTATAAATTCCTTAAAGAAAGAGGTTATAATTTTGAGGTCTCTTTGTCTTTCACAGTAGGGTTCTAGAGGTACCTCATTCCTCAACTAAGTTAATAAGAGGGAGTTCTCTTGGAGCAACATTTAGAAATCTGATATTTTAACCAACTGGAGACTTGTTATATAACTTGACGATATATTTAGTGTCCTGTGGTATATACTTACTATAACAATGACAAAAATAATAATATCCTTGAACATGCTTATCAACAAGAATTATGTATTAGCATAAAATCCATGCTTACACAACACAAATTCTAGTCTCTGAGGCAGTGAATTTATTTGATCTATTTTACTGATCAAACAAGATCACTGGATAGTCATTAAGTTTGATTGGTAGGTTTTAAAATGCTACTTGTATTGATAATTGATATTCATAAAATAAATGTGATGGCAATTGTTTTCCTAACACATAGGTGGCACCCACTCCACAGGCTGTGGCTCTTTTCTTATCAATATAACGTAAACAATTTTATCATGAGCCAATGTTTTACACTACAATTCAGAAAAAAGCATCTTTTCACAACTATCTTCTGATATAGAACCAAGTAAATTTGAATGAAGAAACATAAAGGAATTTGGCCAGCCACAAAATCTGGAAATTAGACAACTGAGAGAAAACTTAGATATTAGATTAATATTCTGTTCACAAATCCTTAGTTACTGAAGAAAGAAATTTTACTTTCTAATAGTTTCTCATTATGGCTACTGATGTGGGTAAAACGTTTTTGAAAAAACACCTTTCCTATTTGTAGATGTCAAAAACTGCTTAATTTTTTGACATAAATTAGAACAGTCTTGTATTCCAAAACTTTAGTTTTGGAAATATTTTAATCTATGATTCATTTCTGATGGGGTATAGAGGTTGACATTTATTTTGAGCATAGTTATAAAAATAATCATCCCTACGTAAATTGGATAAAGCATTATGTATTGAAGTATCTTTGGCATTTCCTTCCAAATGTGTTCTATCTCGTACACACACACATACATGCAAACACACACACATACACGCATACACAAATTTAAATCATTCACTGTACACTATGCTTATGTAAAACAGCTGGGGGACCAATATCACTAAACATTTTCAATAAATCTCAGCTCTCTGGCCAAATGCGATAAGAAATCTCTTCTGACACACCTTACTGACAATTGAATTTATATCTGACATCGATGTGCAAAAATTTTTCAAGTAGAAATTCCCTTACCAAATTATTTAGCTCCCTGAACAGGGCTCTCTGTGGTATTTGAAAACTTTTACAACCATCTTTAAAATGTTAGCATTAAATGCTACCTACAGGAAATCTAAAATAAAGTCTTCTTTTATTGCTACAAATTTTAAGAACTAAACCTCTCCCTAGGTATTTCTGAACATGATACTTGACTGAATTGAGAGATATGATGAGGAAATGGGGATAGTGAAGATTATGATATGCTGAACTGGAAAGAAGCAAAATGATATCTTATTCTGCCTCTTGTTGCCATATATTTTCAGCAATGACCTACTATAATCTGATTAGTGTCTTAATATTCATATCTCCTTAATATTTACAGAAATTCTTTTATAAGCAAGAATGCACCCTCCAATATCTACTCATTGAAAGTCCTTGTTTGAAAAGTACTAACATTCACAAATATGTACTTTGTAGTTATCCTTAACACGGGAGTGAAAAACCTAGGTGTTTAGTTATACTGTCCTGGTCCATTATCTAGTTGTGCCACCTGCTAGTGAGTGTCATAGACAGTATTTAAATAGCTATCAATGATCCCACATCATACTACATTTTCTTCCCTGTGGGGTTCCTTCACACATATTATCAGGTTTGGCCTGATAACTGGTAGAATGTGACAGAAGGGATAGTAGGTCACCTCCAAATTTAAGTTAAAAAAAAAATTGTTGTTCTCTCCATTTTAGCTCAGGTACTGAGTGCTTCTTGGTCTTACTCTCTGTGAGCACATCCTCTGCTGGAATCACACCATAAGGAAATACTGGTAGAACATGGGGAAGCTCATGTGCTGAAGCACTCAGGACCTCAGTTAAAGAGTCTGCCATGAATGTTTAAGTGCCACTTAGCTAATTTACTTCTGAATTCTTGATACTCAGAAACTGTTGATTAAGTGATCATTGTTTCACATTGCTGTATTATGGGAATAATTAATTAACTGTACATAACTGTACTGACAAGTAAATTATTAAAGCTATTTTCTAAGTTTTCTCATTCATACATTGGGGATAATGCCAACTTTATGGTGTGAATTTAAGAATGAAAGAGAGAGGTATAACAAGTCTGGGAGCAGAAATCAGATTCCCAAGACTATTGGTTATTCTTATTAATTTGTGGGGCTCCAATGTTCACCCAACACTAAACTGGCCAGCACTTAATTGGAAATACTGCAAAAAATATTTTGTTTGCTCTTGAAAAGAGGAGTGCGACTTGTTAAGATAGGAGCAAACACAATACTTTTTGTTTCAAATTTTGAACTTAGGAAAATGATAACCCTGTGAGGTCTTCATATTTAGAAAGTAAAGGTTTTCCACCAGGGGAGAAACATTGAATATAAAAGCAAAAACTGAGCTCAAACTGATTTAGTTAACTGTGACCTAAAGACAGACCTTTCATTTATCTGAGTAGTGCTAGAGCTGACTCACTTTTAATGTGGCGTATCTCCATGTCACAAGATGAGATATGATATGGAGGTGACTGATTCAGTGACTACCACAGGTTCTCTATCAACACCTATCTGCCAAGACATTGTGCACTGGCAGGAGAAAAGTTTAAGGCTCCTACAAACTATCACAGCTTTCGCTTCCTTTA